TAATAAATGGGGCCTTGAGGTTAATGTTCCAAAAGCAAAGATAGTTGTGTTCAGAAAAAGAGGCCGATTGAAAAATGGCGAACTTTGGCTTTATGCAAATGAAGAAGTAGAAGTTGTAAACGATTTCAACTATTTAGGTATTACATTAAATTACACTGGGAATTTTACCTTAAATACACAAACATTGTATGGAAAGGGATTAAAGGCAATGAATGCTCTTGTTTCAAATTTAAAAAAGATACAATACTAAACCAAAATTAGCCTTACAATTATTTGATGCTTTTGTTTCATCTATTATTACATACGGTTGTGAAATATGGGGCTTCACTAAATCAAAGCAACTAGAAACATTACATTTGAAATTTTGTAAAACATTACTTGGTGTGCGCCGCTCTTCTTGCAATGTAGCTATTTATGGTGAATTAGGAAGGTACCCTCTATATATTAATAGATATATACGTATTGTTAAATATTGCTATAAAATATGTAACAGCGAAAATTTGATAATAAAAACTATCGTTGACAGTTCCATTGCTGATGCTGAAATGAATAAGCCAAATTGGTTTTATAATGTTAAATGTATGTTAGCCAGATATGGATTTTTAGAGACATGGTACAATTTTCGTAATATCAATATTGCTAATTTCATTTCAACATTTAAGCAGAGACTGATTGATGAATTTGTGCAGGATTGTAAAGCAGTTATGGAGAGAAGTAGTTCTCTATTAGTTTATAAAAATATTAAAGATTCCTTTGCTTTTGAACCATATTTAGATAAGATTACTTCAAGAAAACTTAGGACAGCTTTTACAAAAATACGTATTTCAGCCCATAGTCTCCGTATCCAAACTGGAAGGTTTGCAAATAATCAAATAGATAGAGATCAACGTTATTGTCAAATCTATAACTTAAACGTAATCGAAGATGAATACCATTTTGTTTTTGTTTGTCCACAATACAATGTAATTCGTGAAAAATATATAAAGAAATTTTACAGACAAAAACCAAGTATGTTTAAATTTGTAAACCTATTAAATAGTCAAAATCTTTCAGAATTACTTACGTTTAGCAAATATATTTTCGAGGCTTTTAAAATTAGAAATCAAATTCTTTCAAATGTGCCAATGTAACTTCTTGAAGTATGGTATTTCATTTACAATAATATTATATGCACATTTTAATGATTCCCTTTTTGAACTGTTTAGGTATTATATTATAGTTCCTACTTTCCATTTTAAGTATCTGTTGAATTCACACATTATCACATAATGCAAGTACATGTGTTTTTTCTTTGTTCTTTAATATGCAATTACATGTTGCTTTTTTGATTTTCATCATATAATGTATGCATGTTGTTTCTTAAGAAAATATTAGTTCATCAATTATTGTGTTATATATAATAATTTCATTCACTTTTCATCCTATATGTATCGTTCAATATTATATTATATGTATTATTCATTGTTAAACACTAGAAACTGTACAGTTTATGTGTAATAAAATCTGTTCTGTTCTGTTCTGTTCTTCGTGGTTTTTACGGCAAAGTATACAAAGTGTTTAAGCCAATCAGAATTTGCGAAAAATTATTTGCATTATTATCAAAGATAATTATACCTACTTGTCTTGAAAATGACACAATTATCTATTTACATCAATCAAAATATCTCACAAATATGATACAAAAGATTCTTTTTAATAACTTCCGATATTTGCAGAAAAATGATTACATTACCGTGAAGCAGATTCAATAGAGCTTCCGATCCACTATGTTTGTACCTACTAAAGTAACTAAATAATTATACATGTATATCATAAATTTCATATAATGGTTTGGTATATTTTTCTTTTTTGAATAATATAACTGCAACTTTTATGATTTTTCCGGAGCCCTTACATCGTAAAAAAAGGGCTAGAAATAAAATACCAACACTAGTTAATTCATACAAATTAAGTAGTTTAAGTCAGTCTTTAGTACTTAGCCGCAGATAGTTTCTGTAACATACAACAATATATAGAAACAATGGGTAATTTTTAAAGGTAAATTTTAAATAACTTTTATAATTTCAAATCTTTAAACATTTTTTCAGTTATTTAGCTGTATAGTTTTTCGTTAGCTCGTTTTTATGAAAAGTATTTTTGCACCGCTTTAAATGACGGGTTGGACGATCTTTACATAAACTGCCTGGTCATAACAAGTTTGTTGGCATTTAATTGTATAGAGATCAATATGTTAAACCATGTCAGCTGTAAAATGTAAAATTATTGATTATAGAATGATCATTGCTCTATTTATTTACCCGATAACTACTAAGGTCATTTACTATATTTGTTAACATTTTTTAACTTTACATTGCAATGGGTGACTAACTGATATAGGTTATGTGTAAGAACCCAAGGATAGATTAAGATCGGAATATTCTTAATTTTATTAAGTAATAGTAAAAGGGAGTTTAATCAAAGAGGGATGTGTTCTCTATACTGATAAATTGTGCGAATGTAATGTATCCGTAAAACTGCACAGTACACAATGGTATGTTTCGTTTTTAACTTAAAAGTACATGCCTCCAGATTAACCAAAAAATATTAGTCAGACTAAAAATTTTTCAACTTCAGCTGTTTGTCAATCACCTCACCATTATAACATTACATCTTATGAGATACATGTATATAGTCAATGGCATAATATCACATTAATGACTCAGACATGCAGTCTAACTATAATGAAAATAACTTTTAAATCAGCAATTATCTTTTTTTTCAATGTATCACAGTAACTTAAAGATTCATCTTAGACTGAAAATGTTCTTTATTTTGGATAACAAGTCTCAATTTCTTACAAGATTTAATGATGATATAGATTGTCGCCAATTCTTTTTTCCTATATGATAGTTTCTATATATGTATATAAACAGAGATGTAGATAACAGAGATAAGCAGCTTCTATAAACTCAATTGAAATATCAAAAAAACCTTTCAAAAAGTGAAAAATAAGGCATTTTGTAGCAAGTAAAACTTAATGGATGAAGATTCGATCCCTTTATAGTATACACCATTTGAAAGTATTTTTTTTTAAATTATTGATGCATGTTTAAATATTGGTAACTTTCTATGTATTTCACTTAAAAACGTAGCAGAATTTGCTCACTGAGCAAGTTTTATGACATGTGCATAGTTAAGTAACAAGCGTAATAAATAGTTCTCTTCAAAATTGATATATCATTTATTTAAACTGGAACTGTAATGTTTTTACCTGCAGCCATAAACAAATTTTCAGAAAATGTATTATTTTACTGATTTTGATATCTGGTTGATAAGTTATACTTGCTACAAGTTTTAAGTTTAGCAAGCACGGGTGATATCAGTACCTTATCTCTGTTATCTAAACAATAGAATTATTGTGCTTATCGGTTGTTTATCACGTTAATACAGACCAAAAATATGCCATGAGACATGGCATACATGTTGAATGACGGTATTTCTAGTTGAGAAATTTTGTTTCTGTGCATACGTCCTCGGTTTCATACCTCAGGGTGTTAGATATATGTCCCCAAAACACACATACACATACATATTGCCAAAATATCACTTACTTATTTACTTACTTACTTACTTACTTACTTACTTACTTACTTACTTACTGACTTACTGACTTACTTACTTACACAAAAATGTATTGCGCAATTTTAATAAAAAATGCTCGTTCATTTAAATCACATGAGAGAACTACTTGATTAGAGATAATCGGCTATGGAACGCCGTGGCTGTCTTATGTGATCAATGTTTTTGCTATCTTGTGAAATAATGATACTATTTTGTCGTTTAAGCATGTTAACATGTGCAATATACATCATATCTTGTAAAAATACCATGCTGACTTGTTCAAACAGCATGTTAACTTGTCAAATAATCATGATGACATGTGCAGACAACATGCTATCTTGTCAAAGTACCATGATGACTTATGCAAACAACATGTAAACTTGTCGAAGTATCATGATGACTTGCGTAAACGACATGTTAACTTGTCAAAATTTCATGATGACATGTGCAAACACACATGTCATCACAATAAGTAGACAAGTTAACATGCTGTGTGCACATGTCAGCATGAAATTTTGACAAGTTAATATGTCATTTGCACAAGTCATCACGATACTTTGACAAGTTCACATGTTGTTTGCACATGTACATGTCATCACGATAAATCGACAAGTTAACATGCTGTTTGCACATGTCATCACGATACTTTGACAAGTTAACATGTCATTTGCACAAGTCATCACGATACTTTGACAAGTTAACATGCTGTTTGCACATGTCAACATGATAATTTGACATGTAAGCATGGTGTTTGCACAAGTTATCATAATACTTTGACAAGTTAATAGTGCATTTTGACATGTCAGCATGATACAAGATAACATGTCGTTTGCACAAGTCATCACGATTCTTTGACAAATTCACATGTTGTCTGCACAAATCATCATGATAATTTGACAAGTAAACATGGTGTTTGCACATGTCATCACGATATTTCGACAAGTAAACATGCTGTTTGCACATTTCATCATGAAATTTTGACAAGTTAATATGTCTTTTGCACTTGTCATCACAATACATTGACAAGTTAACAAGTCGTTTGCACAAGTCATAATTATATTTTGACAAGTTAACATGTCATTTGCACAAGTCATTATATCTTTTGACAAGTTAATATGTTATTTGCACAAGTCATCATGATACTTTGACAAATTAAACATGTTGTCTGCACATGTCATCATGATAATTGGACAAGTTAACATGCTGTTTGAACAAGTCAGCATGATCCTTTTACAAGAACTGATGTGAATTGCACATGTTAACATGCTCAAACGACAAAATAATATAATCGTTTCACAAGATAGCAAAAACATTAATCACATAAGACAGTCACGGCGTTCCATAATATGCGATGCACTTCGAACATATGTCGCTAACCTTTCATTAAAGCTTTATGTATGACTAACCATAATGTGATTTTTGGAAAATCATATTACAAATTATCTATAAATAGAGTAGGTATAATATATATAAGGACATAGTTTCCGTGCGCCTTTATCAGTACTTTTACAGATATTCTGTGACGCGAAGCCATTAAAATATTGAGGTAAAATTTTATTATGTGTTATCAATACTATATGTGTTTTTATGAACAAATTTTAAGATGGATGTAAATAAAAAAAACTTGTTTATCACGAATATATAACTTTTTGATTTTTTTAAATCCTTACATCTTTAACTTTTTGTATGAAAAAGTTTTAAACTGATAAAAGTCATAGAAACTTGCTTATCGATCTAAAAATGAAAATCTAAAACTACAGCATTACCAGACTTAAAATAACACGTAAAAGCATTTTTTAAAGGCATCCGTATATTTTGTTTCTAGAAACAAAAGACTTATTAGCTGTATTTTGATCCCTTTTTATTCAATTTCGAACGTGATGCAATGTCATTTACAGTTAGAGTAAATAAGTTTTACCACTAAAACCCGTTTGTATCTACCTAGCTTAGTTTGTGGATTTTATGAATTTAAAACGCCTTATTCATTGTTGCATTACAATAAGTCTAAAGATTACCGTCCAAAACGGACATATGAGCTTTTAAAAGGCAATTTTTATACATAATTCAATTTTCTCCAGTCGTTTGTTAGCTGATGTTATTTTTTTTCTGATCAATTACCAGTAGAACAACGTTTTTCATAAGAATGATATAGATTACTTAGAACTCCTGTATTTCTTTAAAAAAGCCTTTTTAAAATGCAATCTTTTATTCAGAATAATGTCCATTATTCGTAAACTTTACGGTAAATCGTGTTTAAATTTTGTATACAGGTGTCCTTTAAGACATATAGTGGAACTATCTTGTCAATATTCCAGTTCCTTATAGTGCTCATTAGGGTGGTCATATTTTAAATACAGATAAAGACGGAGCTCAGTGAATTGTTTTGAGCTATTTAGGGTTGTGCTTTATCTATTTTAGTTTCTCATGCATTTATATCAAGTGGCAAGTATTCAGTTACGTGACCATACATGAAACAAAACAAAAACTCTGCTAAAATAAATTGTTATACATGTTATACAGGAAACGTAAAGTTATATACACACGGCCATAAAGACATTTTTCCTTCTTTAGGAAAGGCAAGTTTTATTTCATTTAAATGGTGCTTTTATTGCACTATAGATACTTATCACCTAGAAAAATAAAGGCTGAATGTGAAATTATTAGTCATAAAAGAAGGAAAATGTAAACAAGTAGTTCTTTAACTTCCATATGAAGTAATAAATCATTATATTTGGACTAATTGCTAAAATGCAACATAAACAAAAGGCGGTTCAGGTAAATTGCAAATAAGTTAAAATTTGTAAACTAAAACAGAATACCAAAAAAGAAAAGCTTTTGAGATATACAGATGAAAGCCGTTTTGAAGCATAATGGGCCTTTCAATCAGCAAATTTTCCTGCTCTTTTCTCGCCCAACTGATATCATTTTTATGTTATATGATGAAAGAGAATGAATGACTAATAAGTGTCCTTATTAACTGTCTTCTAATGCTAACGGTTTGTGTAGATTGTTTTCTATTAAAGGCCCATTATGCCTCAAAAATGCTTTTATTTCTCAAAAGCTTTTATATGTTGATGTACGTTTTGAGTATCAAAAATGTTACACATTCGCCAATTACCTGAACATCTTTTTAATATGTTGCGTGTTGGCATTACGTCGAGTTATAGTAAATTAGTATTTTAAAGGAAAGTCAAAATACTACTTTGTATACATTTTGCTACTTTTATGACACATTATTTCAGATCACTACTTTCATCAGGTAATAAGCATCTAACATTCTCTAATACAATTATTTAAACATTTGTCCTTTTAAAAGAAAAAAAAAACATTATTTATTTCGGAGGCATAAGCTGCCTTTCATAATTGTTCAATAAACATTCATGTTTTACAAATTACATTTAATAATATTTTTTACCAATGAAAAAGAAAAAACATTCCTCAAGAGTGCAATACAATGCTTACCTTATAAAGGAAAACATCAATTTATCTAAATGCATTCAAATTTAAAATGTATGATTATTTGTTTGACTGAACAAATAAAAAGGATTTAATACATGAAAGGATTAAGAAAAAATACAGCTAATTCAAACCGAGGAAGATATAAAACCCGATAAAAAACTAAAATAGGCGATGGTTGGGTAAAATTTACCCGTATAATTCCCACTAAATAAACATACGATGTTTTAAATATTCTTTGCCAAAAAGAAGTTAAAAACGTTTTCCAATCCTTTGATATGATATTTTAAAAGTGGTTATCAAATTTATGTAAGTTTTTTATCATATTTTTGTAAAGATCCATTTTGCCCTACCTTAAAGTTATTGTAAAAGGAAAATGAAAATGCCCTATCATCAGCTAAGTGTAGTGGCTGACATGTCAAAAACGCGACGCACGATCATATGCAGTTTTGCGTGTTTCGCAGCGACAAGTCGACGAAAAGACGATAACGATACATGTATTTGTTGTGCTCTCGCTAGCGACAACGCAACGCACAAAAGTGAAACAAATCAGCCACTATAAAAAAAACACATTCAACTTTTCAAATTTTGTTGGTTTTGCCCGGCGCGGCGAATATAAAAAAAGACACGACAAAATAAAAAAAAACACATTGACTGTAGCGTGTTTTCGTATTATATTTCGGCACGAAAGGCCGCCAAGCGAAATCAAGACAAACCTATAATTGCCGTGTTTTCGCATGACACGTTTTCGCTCCGCCATACAAAGATTTGACAAACTTTAGGTACAGACACGCACATAGAAAATGGCGTGTTTTCTTGTGGCGGGGCGAAACGCCGTCAAGTGAAAACACGCCACAATTGTAGTTTTCGCTCCGCCACGCAAAAAATATTTTCTTGTTTTCGCATTTTCGCCATACGACATGGCGCAATTCAGCCACCATAATTTTATAACCCATAATTTTATAACGACTTGAAGCTAGAAATCTTATAAATGAAACTAAAACATGAAATTGTATAAAATAAATTATTTTGGCTTGATCAAATTTCGAAAAAAAAAAATCTTTGGCGAACCGCCAATGTTTGTATGTGGGGTTTGCACAAAAAGGAAGAGATTGTATTTTCCGAAATTTACGAAACTTGAAACAACAGGTCAACAGCATAACACGAGTTTAAAAATGTGTCATAACACCTATCTTATAGATTATACATCTTTATCTTTTGTCACTTTGATATTAACTCTGATATCAATATTGTCTTCATTTGTTTTGTACGTTTCTATTTTCTTGAAAGTTAAAAGAACGACTATACATTACGTTGATGAACTATGGCAACACAGCAAGCAAGGAAAACTATGCTTTATTCCCCAGCGGACAAGAATAAATGCAAATCTGCAGTTTCCAGGCTTCTCAAAGAAAAAGTGATCTCCCTGGACGCAGAGGGTGTTCAACTAGGTAAAGATGGACCACTGACGTTACTACAAATAGGGACATTAGACGGGGACGTCTTCTTGTTTGATGTTATGATTAACGAGAAGAAACAAGATAAAATGTTCTTCAAAGATACTGCACTTGACAAAATTCTCACAAGTACAAGCATAGTTAAAGTAAGATGCTGTTATCTCCGAGGTTTATTATTAATCAGTTTTTAAAGGGTAAATATTGGAAACTGATTATATGTTTAGAATAAAATATCTGAAAGATATAAGATGTTCTATATATTTTACATATTATACTAAAAAAGATTCGTCTGAATTTCTCCTGAAGATATGAATAAGGAGCAGGTAGTAGTTTCTTATTTCTTACAATATATTTTTGGAGAATTAGTTAACTTCAAGTCTTTGAAATTGATGAGGAACGTGTTTTCAGCATTTTCCGTCGGTCAGACCACTGACAAGTTCACAGGCAATAGTTTTCTATGGCATTATGAGTAAAATCTAATTTTAATAATTTAATTAATTTGATGACAGGTATTCGGGTAATGCTATTATGGTAATACATGTAATAACAATACAACATTAAATGAAGAATTTGTCAAATGAGTATTTGTATACATATCAAATCAGTTTAACAGTATAAGATATCGTCAAGTCAAAACAAAGCACGTACGACTTTTTATTCTTCCTTTTCAAGTAAAATTTAAAGGTAAATGCTATAGTGTATTTTAACTTAACTGATCTTCAAATTTTCATTTTTGTTTTCTATGGATTGAATGCTAAAGTATATGTACAATGCGTATAATATTCATTTCATTGAGTCTTACATTAAGACTTTACTGTAAGCCTAAAAAGGTGTTTTTATGTATATTTTTTTCTTCTGGAAGATTTGCATGACTTTTTAAATGCAAATTTCGAGATTCTTTTAAATATATTTTAATGTAGAGTGTTCAAAAGACTTATTTTATCTTATCTTATCTTATATCAGGTCTGTCATTAATATCTTATATTAGATTGCGTGTGACATTTACGTTTTCAGGTAATCCAGTCTTGCTCAGGTGACAGTGCAGCGCTTTATCACCAGTTTGGCATCAGGTTGGAAAACGTCTTTGACACACAGGTAGTTACTGTACACTTAGTCTGACTGGTGGCTGTATAATCTTACATGTCTCCAGTGCATACTAAGATCAGCCGATACGTTTGTGCAGTCTGTTTTGTTCCCTATTCACTCAGTTCATATTTTAAATTTTTCCCTAAAATGATGAATGATCTTGTCCAAATTAATTGATGGACAAGTCTCATTAAGAGAGACAATGGTTTTTGTTAAGGAGATAGCTGTGATGTCTAAACATTAGTTGTGTTTAACTTATTCACGACTTTTTATTGCAAAAGTTGTCAGAAAAAGACAATATATCATACATATACATGTATATACATGTATATTACACATAAAAAGTATTGAATTAGAACCAATCAAAGTATAAGTATGGAATAAATTCATTTACAAATTATAGTTCTATTTAACAACTCCTCAATCGGTCATGTGATTCCACATCACAAGTCTAATGCAAGGCTAAATAATCTCTAAACATAATTAATAATGTAGTTCTTGCTTTCTAAATATGTACTTATTAAAAGCATACCTTTTACAAACGTATGATACGCTATCCGCATTAATTTTCTATTTAGTATGTTATTGAAAAAATGCAAACTCTTACATTTTCTTTCTTATCGTTTATCTTTACTCTTGTATGTTCAGTTAATAATTGACTTTTTTCACTAGGTAGCACATCTTGTGATTGAAGAGCACAAAGGGAAACGACTTCCTACTAGAGAGAAACTTGCAGACATTTGTAAACTGTATTCTCAAAATGCCGAAGTTTACGAGGGAAAGGATGACGTAAAGGTGATGATCTAAAGCCAAATAAGCATATTGACGGGTTTATACAATAATGTAATAAACTAATGCAAAAGAAAAACAATAAAAAAATAACAAAAGAACAAAAATTATAATCGCCATACATATGAAAATATTCTAAATTTAATGGAATATGAAAACGCAAAACCCGTAGTCCTATCATATTTTGAACAACGCGCGTATACATTCTCTTCATTCATAATTACTTCCAATGTAGGTGTGACCATAAATGCATCAAGTGTCTGAACTGTTTTCGATTTTGCTTGTTTCATTTTACGCTTTTTTCCCAACAGTATTTCAGTCATATAGGCGGAACTGTTTTCGACGTTTTTAATATTCACAATGTATTTAAATCAGAACGATAAACAAGATAATTATAATTTACATCAAATTACATTTCAGAGTTTTATTTTTTCTCAAATTACATTACAGTTGGAGTGGAGCAAGATTGCTGGCAATTACTGGGCAAAAAGACCTATGACACAAACAATGATTGATTATGCCAGTGGAGACGTTACATCTCTCATTCCAGAAGTTTACGAAACGCAAAAAGAGTAAAGCATTTGTTCTGTTATATAGAGTTATATGTAGATATATGTACTAATCACTTGTCCGCATCCCTTATGGCTGAGGGGTTGTCTTTAAGGTTGAGGTATCAGAATTGAAGTCACCGTTCAACCCTGCGCGATAGTAGAAGGCGACAAAATGGGTAATTTGCATCTCATAGCCCTAGCAAGTGAAATGATTTTGACCAGTTGTGTTGCCTTTAGCTTACAACACCCTAGGATAGCAAAAAACACCTTGAATTCCTGTTTTGGTGCCATATGACATAATCTGTGTTGGTGCGCCGAAAATCAAACAAAAAACACAAACAAAAGGCATCTGTCCACTAAGTACCGTTACTTTTGGATATTTTTTTAGGCTGCGTTCCATGAACGTTGCTCTATCTTGTTGGGTTTTTATTCTTGAAGTATTTTTGCACCCACTGTAAGAAATGTATCTTCCTAGGACGATGGACAATCTATCTGATAGTCTTACTGTGTTTTAAAGTGCCTGCCTGACGTAATGCACGTATGAGTCGGTTTTACTTCCTAAAAATATTATCATGTAGTCATGGGACATGCTGGGATGCATAAAACGTTGGCCAGAAAAATATTTATTCGACATTATAACATCACATAAAAAAAATCTATTACTCATAGATTGTGGAACGTAATTGATTAATTTTGATTACATGTATGTGCTTTATTTCTTTTTACAAACTTCATTAATGTGATAATTTATTAAATTTTGACTTTTTAAAGATATATCACAAGAAATCAACTCCTTGATTTGTATGAAGAAAGGGTTCTTGAAGAAATAGAATTAGATATTGAGGCGGCTGCAAAAGAAAAGCGCAAACAGAGAAATTTTGATATCAGAATGGATATTCTTGGAGACATGGCCAAAAAGTACAGACGAGGAACTGTTTATGAAAGCATTACGGATGAAGATGAGGTAAGTAAATTTAATCTAGGAATACAGCCAAAAAGTAAACAAAGTGTGAAAAGAGACTTAATTGTGCCGAATTGTCAAAATAAGCCGGGATTATACACAATTTTTACGGAATATTTATGCTTTTATACAACACAAATTAATTTCAGCTAAAGATAAAAAGAATATGATCTCATGCTACGGCAAAACTTGGTTAAGATCCCGATAAAAGTGTCCGGTATTTCTTTAATGTCACATTTTTCATTTTGTTACTGAAGTAAGCAAATCATAAGAGCAAGTATGTTCTTTTATATATCTTCTCATTTAATGAAATCTTTCTTCAGATGAGCCTGTTTTCCAGCGTTATGAATGATTAAAAAGAAATTTATCAATGAAAAACCTTTTGATTGATACATGTTTAAATGGTATATTTATCTGAACTTGAACAGATCAAGACATTGAAAGATACAAACTTCTCTGAGTTGGCTGATCACAGTAGCGTTATAACAGAACTGAAACTGCAGTCTATGGCAAGTTACCTGAGGTCACTTGAAGAAAAACTTGAGACTCCAGAGGAGTTCAACCCAGATCGTGGCGTCAATTTTAAACTGACTGACATTGAACGCTTTGGCTCAGAGCAACTTAAGAGGGATGCGTTACGAATTAAAGCAAAAGTCGATGATGTAATATCTTCGGATGTGCAGAGGAAGTACAAAGCCGATGAACCGCTCGAGAATATATCGTCTCCAGAATATCAGATTATCAGAAATCTTAAACCAATTGGAGATAATGCCCCAAACTACCCACCGACTGTTCTTGCATTACATTGGAAAATTGCGGCAACTGAAATGCAAGACGCTACTGATGCACTTAATAACGACCCCGATTACAACATGACAATTCCGGTTCCTAAATTAAAGTTCTTCACTAACAACAGTAACGTTCCCGGAAATGTTAAACGGATTGCACAAACATTGCTGGAAAAAAATGAGTCTGCAATTTTACGTAGAATCCCGAGGAAGTATACGAAAAATTCTCAACTTTCCGATCTTACGACTTCAGAAAAGATGGTCTTGGAACGTTTGAAAATTTCTTCAGAAAGTTTCCACCCTGTCATTGTTGACCTTCATTGGAAGGTTAATGCTGAGAAGTTGGAAAAGGACATAGCAGATTTCCGTGCTGGAAACCTTATTGTCAATGATGGTCTACGGAGGAAACTAGACTTTTTTCAGAAAAATAAATCAGTTCCAGTGGAAGTAAAGCAAAAGGCGTCAGCGTTTCTGCAACTATTACCGCCGTCCCAGGGTAACCGTGGCAGAGGGAGGGGAAGGAGATATTAAACGGTTGAGAGTTGATTTTAATGTGATTCAAATCTATGCAGACAAATATCCTAGACAGCGACTAGTTTATTTTAACATTTAATTGAAACATTATTTATTTGTGACATTTTTATTTACATAATAAAGAACATAAAATATTTTTTCCGATGAGTAGGAAGCTTAAAAAGATTTTTTTTTAAATCAATATTTCACAGATTTTAGATAAACAGTAACAAAATATACAATATATAAACTAAACTATACATATCATTTCAACTTGTGTTTACTTTCTCACGTATACATTGTACATACTATCTTTATAATAAGTATTCATGAACTAAATTCATGATTCATTGCTGTTCAATTTGAGGTAAATGTATAAGCACAACAAGAATTTAATTTGAAAAAATGGAAACATTGTTTAATCTTTTTAAACAAGAAGGTTGGGAAAAATCATTGATAAGTACATGTGCCATGAAGATGAAGTAAAAAGGAAAAAGAAGAAGAAATAGGAAAAAACATAACATTACATTTACATGTATTTATATATCAAATTTGTTCGAAGAAAAAAGATAATTGATAAATTGTACTAATTGTGATTGTCATGTTTAATTTGACGTTGTATTTTTTCAACTGGTATATTTCTTTATTTTTGTCCGTGATATTTTGTACATAAAAAGTTTTTATCTTTTATAATGAGTGATCAGTATAGCGTTTTATACATACGAAACATGTTTTTTATATTATGATAATGTGGGTTTCTGTATATTTTACAATATTACATATTAATGATTGATTTATTGTGCAATGTTGATGCAATTAAATATTATATAAAATGATACATCTTTCTCATACTGACTTCAAACGAAAATTTTAAAAAAATTCTATGTAAAGGGCCGCAATTATGTTATATGCAAAATAAGTATTCACTTTTTATCTTAACATAAGCAGTAGTAAAAAATTGCTTTGTAAAGATACTTTAAATGCTTTCGCTCAATTGTGTGAAAAAAATGTTTGATGTTCTGATAAATTGTTGGAATATCCATTGTAAACCCAAATATATTAAATGGTTAAATAGCATTTTTTAAAGTCATGGTTTTAAGCTGGTATTCAATGTATGGGTGACTTGTTAAGCATGAATGGGGTTATTTCGATGAGGACACCTTAAAAGGCCTACCACCATGGCTTGCGTGAGTTTGTATGTATTTCCTGATGTTTTCATCGGGGCCGAAAAATAACAATAAGAAACCCCTCAAAGGCCTACAACTGTAGATTGTGCGACCTTTACTTTGTTCCATGAGGCTATCACAGTGGATTGTATTGCGATCAGAACCCCTAAAAAGACCTATCACCGTGAGCTTGAATGTATTTCCTGAGGTTTTCATCGGGGCCGAAATTGCAATAAGAACCCCCTTAAAGGCGTATCACCGTAGGTTGTGTGACCTTTACTTTGTTCCGTGCGGCTATCACCGTGGATTGTAATGCGATGAGGACCCCTTAAAAGGCCTATCACCGTGTGTTGCGTGACCTTGAATGTATTTTCTGAGGTTTTCATTGGGGCAGAATTTGCAATAAGAACCCCCTAAAAGGCCTATAACCTTAGATTGTTTGACCTTTACTTTGTTCCATGAGGCTATCACCGTGGATTGTACCGCAATGAGGACCCCTTAACAGGCCTATCACCGTGTTTTCGTGAGCTTGAATGTATTTCCTGAGGTTTTCATCGGGGCCGAAATTGCAATAAGAACCCCCTCAAAGGCCTATTACCGTAGGTTGTGTGACCTTAAAGTTTGTTCCATGAGGCTACCACCGTGGATTGCATTCTTATAAAGACCCTTAAGAAGGCCTATCACCGTGGGTTGCGTGAGCTTGAATGAATTTTTTGAGGTTTTCATCAGGGCCGAAATTGCAATAAGAATCCCCTAAAACGCATATCAACGTAGGTCCTGTGACGTTTACTTTGTTCCATAAGGCTATCACCGTGGATTGTATTGCGATGAAAACCCCTCAAATGGCCTATCACCGTGGGTTGCGTGAGCTTGAATGAATTTTCTGAGGTTTTCATCAGGGCCGAAATTGCAATAAGAATCCCCTCAAACGCATATCAACGTAGGTCCTGTGACGTTTACTTTGTTCCATAAGGCTATCACCGTGGATTGTATTGCGATGGAAACCCCTCAAATGGCCTATCACCGTGGGTTGCGTGAGCTTGAATGAATTTTCTGAGGTTTTCATCAGGGCCGAAATTGCAATAAGAATCCCCTAAAACGCATATCAACGTAGGTCCTGTGACGTTTACTTTGTTCCATAAGGCTATCACCGTGGATTGTATTGCGATGAAAACCCCTCAAATGGCCTATCACCGTGGGTCGCATGAGCTTGAATGAATTTCCTGAGGTTTTCATCGGGGCCGAAATTGCAAAAGGCCCATCACTGTAGGTTGTGTGACCTTTACTTTGTTCCATGAGGCTATCGCTGAAGGTTTGTATTGCGATGAGAATTCCTTGAAGACCATATCACAATGGGTTGCGTGAGCTTGCATGTATTTTCTGAGGTTTTCATCGGAGCCGAAATTGCATTAAGAACCCTCTAAAAGGCCTATAACAATATATTGTTTGACCTTTACTTTGTTCCATGAGGCTATCACCGTGGATTGTATTGCAGTGAGGACCCCTTAAAAGACCTATCACCGTGGGTTGCGTGAGCTTAAATGTATTTCCTAAGATTTTAATCGGGGCCGAAATTGCAATAAGAACCCCCTTAAAGGCCTATCACCGTTGGTTGTGTGACCGTTACTTTGTTCCATGAGGCTATCACCGTGGAATGTATTGCAATGAGGACCCCTTAAAAGGCCTATCACCGTTGGTTGCGAGCTTAAATGTATTTCCTGAGGTTTTCATTGGGGCATAAATTGCAATAAAAAAAACCCGAAATGGCCTATCACTTGTGCAATTACTTTGTTCCATGAGGCTATTACCGTGGATTGTATTGCAATGAGGACCCTTTCAAAGGCCAATCACCGTGGGTTGCGTGAGTTTGAATGTTTTTCCTGAGGTTTTCATTGGTGGCCGAATTTGCAATAAGAACCCCTAAAAGGCCTATTCCCGTAGAGGTGTGACCTTTACTTTGTTCCAAGAGGCTATCACCGTGGATTTTATTGCGATGTGGACCCCTTATAAAGCGTATTTCCATGGGTTGCATGAGCTTGAATGTATTTCCTGATGTTTTCATCGGGGCCTAAATTGCAAAAAGAATCCCCTAAAAGGCCTATAACATTATATTGAGTGACCTTGACTTTGTTCCATGAGGTTATCACCGTGGATTGTATTGCAATCAGGATCCCTTCAAAGGCCTATCACCGTGGGTTGCGTAAGCTTGAACATATTTCATGAGATTTTCATCAGGGCCGAAATTGCATAAAAGGCCAATCACCGTAGGATGTGTGACCTTTACTTTGTTCCATGAGGCTATTACCGTGGATTGTATTGCGATGAGGACCCCTCAAAAGGCCTATCACCGTGGGTTGCGTGAGCTTGAATGTATTTCCTGAGGTTTTCATCGGGACCGAAATTGCAAATAAGAACCCACTTAAAGGCCTATCACCGTAGGTTGTGTGACCTTTATTTTGTTCTATGAGGCTATCGCTATTGCAGAGTGTTCAAAAGACTTATTTTATCTTATCTTATATCAGGTCTGTCATTAATATCTTATATCAGATTGCGAGTGACTTATATGTTTTCAGGTAATTCAGTCTTGCTGAGGTGACAGTGCAGGTCTTTTTCACCAGTTTGGCATCAGGTTGGAAAACGTCTTTGACACACAGGTAGTTGTTATACAATTAGTCTGACAACTTACATGTCTCCAGTGCATACTTAGATCAGCCGACACTCTGAGCATGGTGTGTCCTATTCACTCAGTGCATTTTTTTTAAATTTTTCTCTAAAATGATGAATTATCTTGTTCAAATTATTAATCGACAATTCTCATTAAGATAGAGTCAAAATGGTTTTTATTTGTTTGGGTCGTCAGACCAAACAAATAATGGTAACGGAATTTCAGACCCTGATGTTCCGAAAGTAGTCCAAATTCCTCGAAGCGGTTACTTCCCTTCATATGTACATTAACGCCGAAAAATTAAGGGGAGATCACTGCGTAAAGATTGTCAAATTACAGGCGTATTAATTTTCGTAACGAAAACATAGTTGCCGATTGGTCGAAGATTTCTAATATTGATATACATGCTTATAGATATACATGCTTATGTTCAACTTCATGATTATTTACTTCAGTGTTAAACAACAGGTTTACCGTGAACAAAATATATCTAAATTAATAAGGGTTACAAACTCTTATTAAGAATATTATGGTATTCTTTAGGCTGTTATCTTATAACTCCCCGTGGCGGAGTGGTTTACACGCTCGCTTTTGAAGCGAGAGATTCGGAGTTCAAATCCCAGTACAGGCAACTCATGTTTTTTTGGGTTTGATTAAGCCAAATAAACATTGAATTGAATATCAGTGTTACAAGTAGTCTTATAGCCAATTTACTATAATAGTTATAACACTGGAAACAGAATTTGGTGACACTTTACTAACAAATTGGTTTATACTATTTCACGTTTAAATGTTGAATTCTGCTTAAGCCGGTGCTAGGGGGCGTGGACGGTAACTTGCACTTTTCAGTACCGTCCATGAACAGGCTCAATCAAACCGAGCCTGCAACATTTTCAATTTTGTTGTGTTGGGCTTTCTTTAGGGATTCTATATTTATCTATTTTATGATCACATCCGTGTTATTTGTGCCGTGTGGCGGCTGTAAAAAGTCTCCCCGTACATTTAATCAATGATGTTATATTTTCGATCCTTTAAGATCGTTCGGCACGACATTATTGTTGTGCTTGTGGTATTTTTAGTTTCAACTTTTCGGCATTTTCTAGTTGGGTGGTTCCAATGTTCCTACTTGAATAGTGTTGAATCACCCTTAGGATATGTTGCCTGCTTTTTAGGTTTGTCTTTTGACGTCTTGTCTGTGATACGCAGGCTTCATAACCTCTGATCCCCTTTCTAAATTCCATTTTATTTAGTTCCGCCCATTGTTTTCTCGTTTAGGGCACACGCTTTTTATTACTTGGGGACCATACGCCGCTTTTCATGGAATGGCACGTAAGTGTCACATTGGGGTTCCATGATAACCGCCGTATGAACACATCTGCGGATGTTTCTAAATTCAAAATTTTACTATTTCACGTTTAAATGTTGAATTCTGCTTAAGCCGGTGCTAGGGGGCGTGGACGGTAACTTGCACTTTTCAGTACCGTCCATGAACAGGCTCAATCAAACCGAGCCTGCAACATTTTCAATTTTGTTGTGTTGGGCTTTTTTTAGGGATTCTATATTTATCTATTTTATGATCACATCCGTGTTATTTGTGCCGTGTGGCGGCTGTAAAAAGTCTCCCCGTACATTTAATCAATGATGTTTATATTTTCGATCCTTTAAGATCGTTCGGCACGACATTATTGTTGTGCTTGTGGTATTTTTAGTTTCAACTTTTCGGCATTTTCTAGTTGGGTGGTTCCAATGTTCCTACTTGAATAGTGTTGAATCACCCTTAGGATATGTTGCCTGCTTTTTAGGTTTGTCTTTTGACGTCTTGTCTGTGATACGCAGGCTTCATAACCTCTGATCCCCTTTCTAAATTCCATTTTATTTAGTTCCGCCCATTGTTTTCTCGTTTAGGGCACACGCTTTTTATTACTTGGGGACCATACGCCGCTTTTCATGGAATGGCACGTAAGTGTCACATTGGGGGTTCCATGATAACCGCCGTATGAACACATCTGCGGATGTTTCTAAATTCAAAATTTTACTATTTCACGTTTAAATGTTGAATTCTGCTTAAGCCGGTGCTAGGGGGCGTGGACGGTAACTTGCACTTTTCAGTACCGTCCATGAACAGGCTCAATCAAACCGAGCCTGCAACATTTTCAATTTTGCCGTGTTGGGCTTTCTTTAGGGACTCTGTATTAATCTATTTTAAGATCACATCCGTGTTATTTGTGCCGTGTGGCGGCTGTAAAAAGTCTCCCCGTACATTTAATCAATGATGTTATATTTTCGATCCTTTAAGATCGTTCGGCACGACATTATTGTTGTGCTTGTGGTATTTTTAGTTTCAACTTTTCGGCATTTTCTAGTTGGGTGGTTCCAATGTTCCTACTTGAATAGTGTTGAATCACCCTTAGGATATGTTGCCTGCTTTTTAGGTTTGTCTTTTGACGTCTTGTCTGTGATACGCAGGCTTCATAACCTCTGATCCCCTTTCTAAATTCCATTTTATTTAGTTCCGCCCATTGTTTTCTCGTTTAGGGCACACGCTTTTTATTACTTGGGGACCATACGCCGCTTTTCATGGAATGGCACGTAAGTGTCACATTGGGGGTTCCATGATAACCGCCGTATGAACACATCTGCGGATGTTTCTAAATTCAAAATTTTACTATTTCACGTTTAAATGTTGAATTCTGCTTAAGCCGGTGCTAGGGGGCGTGGACGGTAACTTGCACTTTTCAGTACCGTCCATGAACAGGCTCAATCAAACCGAGCCTGCAACATTTTCAATTTTGTTGTGTTGGGCTTTCTTTAGGGATTCTATATTTATCTATTTTATAATCTCACAACCTTCACCTTTCTGACATTCTGAAACCCAAACAAATTCAGTGCCTTCTGCTTAAGCCGGTGCTAGGGGGCGTGGACGGTAGTTTGCACTTGACAGTACCGTCCATGAACAGGCTCAATCAAACCGAGCCTTAGTTATTTCTATTCGGCTATTTTCTTGTTGGGTGGTTCCAGTATTCCTCACTTGAATACTGTTGAATCCCCCTTAGGATATGTGGCCTGCTTTTTAAATTTGTCATTTGACGTCTTATCTGTGATATGCAGGCTTCATAACCTATGATCCCCTTTCAAAATTCTATTTTATTTAGTTCCGTCCATTGTTTTTTCGTTTAGGGCAAGCGCATTCTTTTACTTGAGGACCATATGCCGCTTTTCATGGAATGGCACTTACGTGTCACATTGAAGGTTTCATGATAACTGCCATTTGAACACATCTGCGGATGTTTCAAAATTCAAAATTGTACCAGTTCATGTTAAATGTTGAATTCTGCTTAAGCCGGTGCTGGGGGCGTGGACGGTAGTTTGCACTTGACAGTACCGTCCATGAACAGGCTCAATCAAACCGAGCCTGCAACATTTTCAATTCTGCCGTGTTGGGATTTCTTTAGGGATTCTTATTTTATCTATTTTATCGCCACATCAGCATTGTAAAAAGTCGCCCCGTACATTCAATCAGAGATGTTATATTTCCGATCCTTAAAGATCGTTCAGCACGACATTATTGTTGTGCTTGTGGTAATTTAGTTATTTCTATTCGGCTTTTTTCTTGTTGGGTGGTTCCAGTATTCCTCACTTGAATACTGTTGAATCCCCCTTAGGATATGTGGCCTGCTTTATAAATTTGTCTTTTGACGTCTTATCTGTGATATGCAGGCTTCATAACCTCTGATCCCCTTTCAAAATTCCATTTTATTTAGTTCCGTCAATTGTTTTCTCGTTTAGGGCAAGCGCATTCTTTTACTTGTGGACCATATGCCGCTTTTCATAGAATGGCACTTACGTGTCACATTGAAGGTTTCATAATAACCGCCACATGAACACATCTGCGGATGTTTCAAAATTCAAAATTGTACCAGTTCATGTTAAATGTTGAATTCTGCTTAAGCCAGTGCTAGGGGGCGTGGACGGTAGTTTGCACTTGACAGTACCGTCCATGAACAGGCTCAATCAAATCGAGTCTGCAACATTTTCAGTTCTGCCGTGTTGGGCTTTCTTTAGGGATTCTTATTTTCTCTATTCTGTGCTTTGATTATCAAGGAGATAGCTATGATGTCTAAAAATCAGTTGTGTTTAACTTATCCACGACCTTTTATTGTTAAATTGTCAGAAAAGGACATTATATCATACATATACATGTATATACATGTTTATTACATATAAAATGTATTGAATTAAAACCAATCAAAGTATAAATATGGAATGAATTCATTTACAAATTATAGTTCTATTTCACAACTCCTCAATTGTTGATGTGATTCAACATCACAAGTCTAACGCAAAGCTATATAATCTCTAAATATAATTAATAAAAGTAGTTCTTGCTTTCTAGATGTACTTATTAAAAGCATTCCTTCCACAAACGTATGATACGCTATCCGCATTTATTTTCTAATTAGTATGTCATTGAAAAATGCAAACTGTTACATTTTACTCTTTACTCTTGTATGTTCAGTTAATAATTGACATTTTGTCACTAGGTAGCACATCTTGTGATTGAAGAGCACAAAGGGAAACGACTTCCTACTAGAGAGAAACTTGCATACATTTGTAAACTGTATTCTCAAAATGCCGAAGTTTACGAGGGCAAGGATGACGTAAAGGTGATGATCTTGAAACTTCTTATCGACCACGCGATTTACGTTCAGTTTTTAATCGAAATAGATTTTTTTGCTGTGTTAAGCCAAATAAGCGTATTGACGGGTTTAAACAATAATCGAATAAACTAATGCAAAAAAACAACAACAACAACAAACAACTTATAATCGCCATACATATGAAAATATTCTAAATTTTATGGAATATGAAAACGCAAAACTTTCAGTCCTATTACATTTTGAACAATCTCGTATATATTCTCTTCAATCGTACTACTTTCAATTTAGGTGTGACCATAAATTCATCCAGTGTCTGAACTGTTTTCGACGTTTTTGATATTCCAAATGTAACTAAAACAGAATGATAAACAAGATAGTTATATTTTACATCAAATTACATTCCAGAGTTTTATTTTACCTCAAATTACATTACAGTTGGAATGGAGCAAGAATGCTGGCAATTACTGGGCAAAAAGACCTATGACACAAACAATGATCGATTATGCCAGTGGAGACGTTACATCTCTTATTCCAGAAGTTTACGAAACGCAAAAAAAGTAAAACATTTGTTCTGTTATATAACTTTATGTTAACATATGTAATAATCACTTGCCCGCACCCTTTTCGCTGAGGGGTTGAGGTATCAAAATTTAAGGCACCCTTCAATCCTGCGTGATAGTAGAAGGCGACAAAATGGGTTATTTGCATCTCTTAGCCCCAGAGATGAGTTGGTTTTGACCAATTGCGTTGCTTTATTTACAACACCCTAGGATAGCCAAAATTATCTTAAATTCCTGTTTAATAATCTGTGTTGGTTCGCCGAAAATTAAACAAAAAAAAATAACACAAACAAAAGGCATCTGTCCACTTAGTACCGTTACTTTTGGATATTTTTGAGACTGCGTTCCGTAAACGTTGCTCTCTCTTGTTGGGTTTTTATTCTTGTATTTTCTTTGCACCCACTGTAAGAAATTTATCTTCCTAGGACGATTGACAATATATATGATAGTCTTACTGTGTTTTAAAGTGCCTGCCTGACGTAATGGACAGATGAGTCGGTTTTACTTCCTTAAAATATTATCATGTAGTCACAGGATATGGTGGGATTCATAAAACAGTGGCCAGAAAAATATTGATTCGACATTATAACATCACATACAAATCTCTTACTCATAGATGGTGGAACGTAATTGATAAATTTTAATTATATGTACGTGCTTTATTTCTTTTTACAAACTTCATTAATGTGATAATTTATTAAATTTCGACTTTTTAAAGATATATCACAAGAAATCAACTCCTTGATTTGTATGAAGAAAGGGTTCTTGAAGAAATAGAATTAGACATTGAGCCGGCTGCAAAAGAAAAGCGCAAACAGAGAAATTTTGATATAAGAATGGATATTCTTGAAGACATGGCCAAAAAGTACAGACGAGGAACTGTTTATGAAAACATTACGGATGAAGATGAGGTATGTAAATTTAATCTAGGAATACAGCCAGAAAGTAAACAAAGAGAGAACATAGACTTAATTGTGTTGAATTGTCAAAATAATCCTGGATTATACTTATTTTTTACGGAATATTTATGGTTTTATACAACACAAATTAATTTATCTAAAGATAAAAAGAATATGATCTCATGCTATGACAAAACTTGGTAAAGATCCCGATAAAACGTGGACTTTAACATGTGCCCGGTATTTCTTTAATGTCACATTTTTCATTTTGTTATTGCTAACTCAAGCAAGCCAATCATAAGAGCAACTATGTTCTTTTATATATCTTCTTATTTGATGAAATCTTTCTTCAAATCTTTTTTCCAGCGTTATGAACGATTAAAAAGAAATTTATGAATGAAAAACCTTTTGATTGATACATGTTTAAATGATATATTTATCTGTACTTGAACAGATCAAGACATTGAAAGATACCAACTTCTCTGAGCTGGCTGATCACAGTAGCGTTATAACAGAACTGAAACTGCAGTCTATGGCAAGTTACCTGAGGTCACTTGAAGAAAAACTTGAGACTCCAGAGGAGTTCAACCCAGATCGTGGCGTCAATTTTAAACTTACTGACATTGAACGCTTTGGCTCAGAGCAACTTAAGAGGGATGCGTTACGAATTAAAGCAAAAGTCGATGATGTAATATCTTCGGATGTGCAGAGGAAGTACAAAGCCGATGAACCGCTCGAGAATTTATCGTCTCCAGAATATCAGATTATCAGAAATCTTAAACCAATTGGAGATAATGCCCCAAACTACCCACCGACTGTTCTTGCATTGCATTGGAAAATTGCGGCAACTGAAATGCAAGACGCTACTGTGGCACGTAATAACGACCCCGATTACAACATGACAATTCCGGTTCCTAAATTAAAGTTCTTCACTAACAACACTAACGTTCCCGGAAATGTTAAACGGATTGCACAAACATTGCTGGAAAAAAATGAGTCTGCAATTTTACGTAGAATCCCGAGGAAGTATACGAAAAATTCTCAACTTTCCGATCTAATGACTTCAGAAAAGATGGTCTTGGAACGTTTGAAAATTTCTTCAGAAAGTTTTCATTTTCATATATGATGTTATATCATTGTTGACCTTCATTGGAAGGTTAATGCTGAGAAGTTGGAAAAGGACATAACAGATTTCCGTGCTGGAAACCTTATTGTCAATGATGGTCTACGGAGGAAACTAGACTTTTTTCAAAAAAATAAATCAGTTCCAGTGGAAGTAAAGCAAAAGGCGTCAGCGTTTCTGCAACTATTACCACCGTCCCAGGGTAACCGTGGCAGAGGGAGGGGGGGGGGTATTAAACAGTTGAGCATTGAATCTGTGCAGACAAATATCCTACACAATGACTAGTTTATTGAAACATTTTGTTTAAACAAAATTTATTTGTGACCTTTTCATTTACATAGTAAAGAACATAAAATAAATTTTACCGATTGAGTAGGAAGCTTAAAAAGCATTTCTGTAATCAATATTTCACAGATTTTAAATAAATAGTAACAAAATATACAATGTATAAACTAAACTATACACATCAATTCAACGTGTGCTTGCTTTCTTACGTATACATAGTATATTTATAATAAGTATTCATGAACTAAACTGTTCGATTTGAGGTTAATGTATACAAACACGAACAAGAATTTAATTTGAAAAATGAATACATGTACATCGTTTAATCTATTTAACACGTACATGTACCATGGACGTTGGAAAAATCATTGATTAAAAATGAAGAAGAAAAGGAAAAAGAAGTAGAAATAGATAAAAAAACGTTTACTAAGTTACATTTATTTATATATCAAAATGGTTCGAAGAAAAAAAGATAATTGATAAACTGTGCTAATTGTGATTGTCATGTTTAATTTGACGTTGTATTTTTTTAACTGGTATATTTCTTTATTTCTGTCTGTGATATTTTGTACATAAAAAGTTTTAATCAGTATAGCGTTTTATACATACGAAACATATTTTTAATTATGATAATGTGGGCTTCTGTATATTTTACAATATTACATACGAATGATTGATTTATTGTGCAATGTTGATGCAATTAAATATTATTTTAAAATGATAAATCTTTCTCATACTGATTTCAAACGAAAAATTAAAAAAAAATCCTTTGTAAAGGGAAGCAATTACGTTATATGCAAAATAAGTAAGAAAGAACTGCCTTCCTTGAATATCAAAATATCAACATTTTCCAGATTTTGGTTTAGTTTATATGCATGGTGTAGATCTAACATATGATCAAATGTTGTGAATATTACATTTAAAATAAGAAATACACCATGTTAAAATTCATTTCACCAAAAAAAGGAAAGTCCAAGGAAACATTAAAAGTAAAGGCTTGGACAGAAAATGACGTTCTACATCACCAAGCTTCAAACTATGATTTTGAAAACGTTATTTTATGCTATAAAAGAAAAAAAACATATTCAGAACATAATGATAATTTGTGAAACAGAATATTTATGCATATTTGGCTGTTTGAGAAAATTGGCTGGTAAACAAACACTGCCTCTCAATACAATTAAATCTATTGACAGTTCCTTGTAGATTATCTCTACAGACATGTTGCTAAAAGCAATTGGTTATTGAATCATTCAGATAGAAAGGAAATACAAAAATGTATTGCCATTTATTTATTTTTGTGGAATGATATGGTATTCACTTATTATCTTAACATAAGCAGTAGTAAAATGTTGTTTTTGAAAGATGCTTTTGTTCAATTGTGTGAAAAAATGTTCCATGTTCTGATAAATTGTTGAAATATCCATTGTCTTATATCCCAAATATATTGATTGGTAAAAAAAGTATACATTTAAAATCATGGTTTTATGCTGGTGATCCGTGTATAGGTGGCTTGTTTAACAGGAATGGGTTTTATATGAGATCAATATTCAAAATATAGTTTGAGTGCTATTTTTAGCATGTAACACAGTAGTTACAAAGCTCAAAATTGCTTTGATTGTTATTCTGTAAGTGGTTTGAAAAATGTTTCAGGACCTTTTATTCCACCAATGCTTTCTCAGATTTTGAAGAAAAAAATGACAAAGGTTCACGACAGATGGATATTAAATTAAAATTAAATAACTAGATACCTGTTTTTAAACTTGAATGGGAACAAAACTTAATGCTTAATTTGATAAGGAATAGAACAACATTTTTTCACTTTTAATTGACACCACTAAAAACACGAATTTACCATGGTTTCAATACAAATTGTACACAGAATACTTGACACAAGAATAATACACGGTTTGAGTTCAAATGCGTAGTTATATAATCACGAAGACCTATAGGCCTGAGCAATTAATTACAAAGCATTTGAACGAAAAAACGTGCATTATTATACAAAAATGCACGAAGAATTAATATCTATTTCCATTCTAAACGTCAAGAAAAAATATAATAACTATTATATAGTTGGACTTTATGTTTGTTGGTTAAATTTGTTTTCTCCTTAGAGTTTTCAATAGAAACGTTCTTTAAAGGCTGTCCCAGTGGGTTGAAAAAAAACTGTCGTTAAATCTACCCTTTGTAGAAACATTTTGAGAATAAAGAATTTTGAAAACGTTGATAAAACTTTGTTTGTTTATTTTTTTTCACTCTATATTTTTCAAGCGCAATACAAAATATTAAAAGTGAAATAAAAGTGAAATTTAACTCGACATTTCGACTTAGTAACTCGAAATTTCGACTTATATTGCACGACTTTCATTGGTTACCGGTGAAGCAAGGATTGAATTCAAGATACTTACTTTCGTGTGTAGCTGTTGCACATTGACAGAGCACCTATGTATTTAATAGAACAATTTAATAGGGTCAAATCGTCCACACATACTGAACATATCCTTCGCTTTTTTGTGAAGGGGAGGGGGGTGTAAAATCACACTTTTCACATTTCCGTGTTAACCGGATGTTTCTTTTTCTAAAGAACACATACAACCATCATGTGGAGATACAACAAGTCAAAAACCCACCCTATTGTAAACTGTGCAACATTTATGTGTTAAATAAGTTTTAAATGGCGTGTATACGCCAGTTAGTCTGTCACGTTTCTTTATACTAATAATGTTTTGTAAAATAGATAAATACAGAATCCCTAAAGAAAGCCCAACACGACAAAATTGAAAATGTTGCAGGCTCGGTTTGATTGAGCCTGTTCATGGACGGTACTGGAAAGTGCAAGTTACCGTCCACGCCCCCTAGCACCGGCTTAAGCAGAATTCAACATTTAACACGAACATGGTGAAATTTTGAATTTAGAAACATCCGCAGATGTGTTCATACGGCGGTTATCATGGAACCTTCAATGTGACACAGTAGTGCCATTCCATGAAAAGCGGCGTATGGTCCCCAAGTAAAAGAATGCTTTTGCCCTAAACGAGAAAACAATGGGCGGAACTAAATAAAATGGAATTTTGAAAGGGGATCTGAGGTTATGAAGCCTGCATATCACAGATAAGACGTCAAAAGACAAATTTAAAAAGCAGGCAACATATCCTAAGGGTGTAACATTATTCATTATTTACTAAGACTTTGATTCATATTGTGTTGATAAAAGTTGATAAAAGTGGAACTTGTTGTTATATACATGTTGGGAATAATATAAAAGCATCCGATTTTACAAGAAATATAGTCAGTCCAACAAATTTGACAAAGGCCCCAGCACCCCTATTTTGGCCACTCCGCGATACTTTCCTCAGATGTCCCACACGTGAAGTATAGGATCGTTTTATTCACATGTATGAGAAGAATATGATTAGTGAAAAGATATGGTCGAACAGGTAGGATACAATACAACGTCTGAAGAACGCCTGAACGTACAAATTAAAGGAAGCCTTGTGTTTTTTAGGTCGGGCGTGTACATGCCATTACTAAGTTTAAGTTTAACTTTAATAGTTTGTCCAGGCACCCGTTTCTCCATCTCCATCGTTCAACCGCACTCCCTACTATATCTTATATTATCTAAACTCTTGGTAACTCATAAATTTGGCCATTCTAGTAATGTTAATAAGTCGAAATTTCGAGTTAGTAAGTCGAAATTTTGAGATAAGTAACTCGATATTCGAGTTAGTATGTCGAAATTTCGAGATAAGTAAGTCGAAATTTCGAGTTAGTTAGTCGAAATTTCCAGTACGTCGAAATTTCGAGTTAGTAACTCGAAATTTCGAGTTAGTATCTCGAAATTTCGAGTTAATAAAAACATACACTTGGCACTAATGCTCCTCCGTCATTTGCGACATTGAAATAGCATTCTTAAGTTGATTGTTTTTGCACGTGCAGTTTGGCCTAAACAACTCTTCAAACATCTGTACAGCGTTAATGACTAAATTAAAGATATTGGTGTTCGGATTCATTTTCTTAGTTAGACCATTTTCTTTCATCCTAGATAGATTTCACAACAAAATTCGACAAAAAATTGTTTTATTTATTTGATTTTTCAAAATGGCGACGTCATTGTGGCGGTTTGAAAACGCACAGAGAGGTAATAAGAACGGCGAGTGCATTAATAATGCACGCTTTCGGCCGTCTTTGTTTATTTAGAAAAATTTCCGATATTTTTGGAATGTCTTATATTATACGTTTATGCTCAAATTTGATGTTTTATCGTTGGTCATTTGATTACTAAAGGATTATATGTCGTTTAATCGGGATATAAATTTTAATTAATGTTCAAGGCATTAAGATAAGCCATTACGATAAGCACTGCCTATATACATGTTTAAATAAGATACATGGTGTCGGATTCCTAGCACATTACGACATTGACAGAAGCTTACCCGTCCTGTCACAGTATAATTAAAATGTATAATACTAATACAGAAATATAGGAATTTTCGTGTGGTAACGCTTCCCCTTTAATTTCAACAACTGCGCAGATATAAACAAGACATTCGTTTAGATAGCATTTTGGTTACAGTGCACATCTGACCATTTTGCGTACGTAAAACATCATTCTCTTTTTATTAGCATGTTTAAATGGAAATTGTTATTAATTTTTCATGCATCGTATAATGCTGTCCGTTTTATCGTCCAAATGCTTTGTAATTAACTCAGGCCTATATTCGTACGCGTGCATTTGAACTCGAACCGTGCATTATGCTACAACAATGCAACCAAAATTGATATCTATTTTCTTATTCTGACGGACAAGTAGTGTTTGTATAATAGGATAATGATTGTCAGTAAATACTCTCCCTGCTCATCCATTCATAGTTTGCTGATTTTGTGTGTTCTTATACATGAAGTATTATTGTAAATAAACTTTACAGACATCTCATCACAAAAAAAATACGTATATGCGCTAACAAAGAACAGATTGAAAGATACGGTCCGCGGTGGTAGATATTGTTAAATCTGTTCAGCTAGAGACATTGGTGATGAATATCACTTTATTTGTATATGTGAGAAATACAATGTTTTACGGAAAAGATATATAGACTGTTATTTTTTATGAAAGGCCTAACATACACAAACTACTACAGCTACTGTCAACTCAAAAATAGCCAAACTTTAAATATTCTAGCATGTATTATTAATTGTGCTATAAAGATAAAACTTAATCTGTTATTAATTAGTAAAGCTAAATGCTATACACAAGATCAACTCTTATTTTACGAATTATCATTATCTTTATCTTACAAATGAAAGTTCTTCATTAAATTTAAGACTAAACTGGATCACTGTCTAATATAACTTTTTACTTTGCGATATCACGGATTTATCGGGTGCGTGACATGATATTTAAGCGTTTATATATGGTTAACTGGAAGTTTCCGATCCTTGTGGTGATATATATGTAATATATATGATGTGTATGCTATACAGACTTTGTGTTTTGATTATGTATTGTAATCATTATTTTTGAGGACGTGGAGCTATGTTCAAGTCCGAGAAAAAGAAATAAATATTTTGTTCTGTTAAAAAATATTCCATTCTATATAATTTCCTGGAAAACATAAAATGTTTCGACCATAGTATAGTACATATTGAG